ATAATTTTCTGGCATTTCAAGATGCTGCATGAATGCCCTCCTAGCAGCTCCAAAGATTTCTCTTTATGGTTTCTTTTTATCATTTCTCATTATGGTGAATGTGACCTGTAAACCAATACTTAACCGTATCATTATCTGATATTACAGACCAAAAGAAGTAGTTTTGCAAGTGTCACTTTATACTATATGCTGGTCTTCTCAGTGGGCTTTATTCAGCCTGCTTCATGGAAGCAGTTATCAGATACTCAACTGAGGGAAAGATTCCCTTAGAGGTGAAAGAGGAACTTGTAACTCAGGAAAAGCATATCAGAGCTTTGAATGACACTCAAACCCTTTGGACTTCACACTCCTCCCAAGGCATGAGTGTCTCTGACATAACCCAGACAAATTTTCACAGCTGTCTAAACTATAGCACTGCTCCTGAATTTCCATACGAGCAGCAGCATCTACTGAAGAAATTAGGAATGTGCAATTCACCACAAGCTCCCCTCTGCCCCCGAAAAGGAACTTCAGAAGCTTCTAGTTATCTTCCCTAGTTCTTTAAACAAATTTAGAACTTGCTAAATTCCTTGCAATCCTGCTGTCCTTTTATGGTGATGGGGAGAGAATATCTTCTTGAACAACTATACTTACAGCTTTTCACATTTTGTTAAATTAATTAAAATGTAAACATACGAAAAATTAATTTCAAGTAACAGTCTTCCGGAATATGAGATCTGTTTACTCAGATTATCATTCGTTTATTCATCCATTACACTATTTTATCCTTTCTATCCATATGTTTTTGTAATTTCCTTCTTCTTCAACTTACTGACTTGAGTCACATTTTTGTTTAGTCAGTTGAAGACACCTGTAGAAACTTCCATCATAATGTATCCCTTAGTCAACACTAGTCATTCCCTATAACATCACTAAGCTTAATGTCCACAACCACTTGTTAATCTACCTTTAACAGCAAAGTTCACAAAGACGATTGCCCTTCTGCAAACACACACGTGCCAGAGAAACAAAAAAAGAGATCCTCACATACTTTATGAGAAAAGAACAAAAATACATGTGACATTAAGTACACCTCACATAAGAAATTGTCTTTGAGGAAGTAAGTAAACGCGTACATCCTATCGAGTTCAAACTGAGTCAGAAAACAACCACATATTATTATGATAAAGCCAACTGAAAATATAAATTTGGTACTTCCAAAATATCTGTTCCTCTTATCACATGCAAAAAATTAACCATGGTTTTCTAGAGAAATTCCACAAATTTATCCCTGTGTCATCACAATTTCCTAACATGACAGCCCCACTGTACTAGCATTGCATAAATAAATAATGAGTTTTTCATGAGAAATACAGAATTACTGATCAATACATTTGCCAAGTGGAAAAAAAATATCAAAAGGCATCAAAATTAGTTTTCCTTTTGGGTTTCCGCACAAGTTGTGTAAACACTATTCATAAAGAATAATCACTAAACTGAGAGAACTAAATGACTCCATTCCATTGCAAAATATATTAAAAGGCTCTATGCAAACTTTCACTCCTACTGTCCTGATCCCAACATCAGCACGTGCATCCTCATGCCCTAATTATTTGTACCTTTTGTTTCACTTCATGCTTCCTTCACAGAGGCTTTGGCTCTGCTTCTCTAATTTGAGCTTTAAGTGATGGCTGTTATTTTAACTTTACTACAAAAGTAGTATCTTTTTTAATTTATGTACGCCCTCAACATGATGAACGTCTGCTGAATGCTCCAGGAGCTCCATAAATATCTGTCAGCAAGCAGGAGTCCTTAACATTCTTTTGTGCTGACAAAGTCTGTTCAAGAGCTCTGAACCATTTCAGCTTCCTGACCTTGAAAGCTGAAGGGTAACCTTGACTGAACGTGTCTAATGCATCTTTTATTGCTGATAGCAGGAGGAGGGACAACCTTCTACTCTTTTTGCATTTTCTGATCCATCAAGAAAAATGAAAAGGGGTGATTTAGGATGCTGGGGAGCAGGAATCTGGGGGTTTGCCTGAATGATTCCCCTTTGGATGATTCGAGCTTCAATGGGAAACTTTCATGCCAATGCGTCAATGAAGAGCGACAAAAGAGACCTTAAAACATCAAGAGCAACAGTTACAGCACAAATCCTTCTCTTGCCAAGAATATTAACAGGATCAGATATGGAAAAGTGCTCCTGTATTATTTTTCACTCATGCTCCACATATCTTTTTGGTGTATTTAAATTATAAGCTTTTTGAGGTCCAAGAGGGACTGTCCTTTACACAGTTGCTAGCAAGCTAGGGTTATGAATGTGATGGGATACTTGCAGTACTAGCAATAAAACAAACACACCTGAGTATCCCAATCATATAAACGTTGTAATTTAATCCAAATTCTATTTTTGGTGTTCACAACAGAACTTATCCCTGAGATGCACACTTTTCTGATCCACCAGTAAGTTCACTGAAACCCAATACCTCCCACATATTTCCTAATGACTAATAAAATGTGTCAATTTGTGATTAAAAAAATCAAAGTTAAATTTTAACTCCTGGACTGTCATGCTTGCTATAGCATTCCATGCATTCCTCTTTCTTCTTCAACATAAATCAGATACTAAGTCGCCTCCAAACAATATGCTTGCTTTTTTTTCTCTCTGCTGCTGCTGAGCTCTACCAGAGGTTCCAACAAGAAAAGTAGCAGCTATTCTTACTCACAAAAGTGAATGATTTTGAGGTCTAATCCTGAAATAGATCTTTGGAATCTCAGATATGAGAATGGGTCTCAGCACTACATTAGTACATCAATTGAGGTATAGCTTTATAGTCTTAAGATTTTTCCTCAGACGCAAAGTTACTGTCTAAAACCCCCACCCTGTTGACTGATATTTCTAGTGACTTTTCGTGTGTCTCACCATACACAGGATCTTGCTTTTCTTGTATTCATCCACTCTTCTCATGTGTTTCAAAACACTCATATTCATCTCCAAATACCTAATATAGACTTAGTGTGGTAAAATTTGAAAAATCTTCAGATATATTACTGGATTTTTTTATTGTCATTTACACTATTAAGTTAATCTTGTACAGACTAATACTTGGCAATTAATAGCTCTCATCATTTATTGAGCTACATTTGTTCTCTTAACAATTAGCAGCAGGGGGAGCCACTTACTGTTCAAGTTTCTTCATCTTCTAAAAACACAGTTTTCCTGATAATATTTCTTCCTGTATTTTACATCAGTGAAAAAATGAATGTTTATCATTCTGAAATCATTCCTGTCTGTGCTTGGCAGAAACAAACGCAGTTCCTGAACAGCAACATTTAACTTCGAAAAAAAAAAAAGAATTACAGATCAAATCTTTTGTCTTATTTTTCCTCATATTTAACTAGCATACAACCTACTTTGCATGGATACCTGGCAGTTTCAATCATCTCCAACAGATTATACCTCCTTGTTCTCAATTAAAAAAAAAATCTTAAACTTATGCAATGCACAAATACATCCCTAAATATAATGAATGATGCCTTCCTGATGCATTTTCCTTTCACACCTTCCCATCAGGAGAAAAAACTACAGAGCTCTCTTCCAACTTTTTTCTTCAGTAAAACTAAGGAAATTCAAAAGAAAAAAGTGCATTAGTTATGTTTTTACATGCATTAATTTTAGAAAAAGTATCACTGTAAAACAAATAAACAGTGAAGTTAATTATAAATTAAGAGTCGTGTTTTTTTGTTGTTGTTGTTGTTGAAGCGTTTTTGAAACGTCAGAGAGGACATTAAAGTGCCACAAAACGATTTTAAGAGTGGACTGAAAACAGGCTTCCCTAACATTTCACAGCTTTGGTCCTTTATTACAGCCCCGAAGCCTCTGCCGGCGGTCGGGAGGCGTTTCCAGCGGAAGCTGAATGCCACCTCCCTGCCTGCCGCGGCTAAGGCTTACTGCAGGGCTGCAGGGCCCCGTTTCGAGGAGCAGGACGCTTGCCCCGGGGGAACCCCCTTCGGGGAACGACGCTGCGCTGCCTGGGGGAGGACGAGCAAGGCGTGGGGGCAGGCACGACCCCTGGCAATCGCACCTCCCACCGCAGAGGAGCGGGGCAATTAGCCAGAGTGGTTAATAACCCTGGCTCAAAGGATAACG